GCCCGAGTTGTGGCATGGCGAGCTGTCGAGAGCCAATGAAACAGAAGTGATTCTCCAATGTTTCTTTTTTCTTACATTCTATTGCTCATGAAAAGGTTAATTTACGAAGATCCACTAGCAGTTCCGCGGGCTGGAGAACCTTTATTGTAATGTAGCAGGTAAGCAGCGGGAGCCATGAGGATCGCTGGGTGGTCTGAGCCTGAGGCGCACGAAAACGATGCAATAGGCTGAATAGAAAGGAGCCTGAATGAGGAAGCAGGGTTGTCGAGCACTGGATGAATTTTTTTATTCCTGCCACCTATAACTGTTGCTTGTTTTTCGTGGATGCTTTTGTCTCTGACGATGAACTTCCATAAGATCCCGAAGGCTCAGAATAAAAAATTGATCCGGTGCTCGACAATTCTTCTTCCTCATTCATGAGTGTATCCAGTTATCTAACTTATAGGCTACGTGGGAACAGACGAATCGGGCATTTTAGCAACAGGAAGGTCGGCACTGCTAATTAACGGTTGGGAACCCTGCAAGTAAACTGCACATTCGAAATGGCCGTCTTAGTCCGATACCCTGAATATTTATTCGCATACATTCTGCCCTTCCCGCCACCATATTGGAGTACGCCAGATAGGTTGAACAGATTTGCAAAGGATAATGAAGGGAGTACAGACTGACATTAATACCAAAGCCAAAAGCCATGAGTGTGATGCAGCTTTAAGTATAAGTTTAAACTTCTGAACTAGTGAGTTTTATAGGAGATAATGGGGGTTTTATCGAAGATGCTATCCCGAAAAAAACAACTATGCGAATTTACAGGACGCATTCATTGTTTTGTTCTTCTCAAATGCAGGAAACGTACTGAATGCAGAAACACGACTACTGGAGAACCGTCTGCTGGGCTTTCAGGAGTGCTTCGCAGAAGTGACCCGCTTCCTAGCCGCTGTACCGGTTATCGGCGAGGTGGATGAGCTTCTACGACGCAAACTCCTGGGCCACCTGCATGCTTGCATATATCGTCGAGACTTTGAAGCCCGCTCCCGTCTAGCCTCCCTCTCAGCCATGGCCAGTTCGGGAGATTCGA